TCGGTTAAAAAAAAAAAAAAAAAAAATTCTGGGCGGTTTTTTGTCCTGCCCGGTTTACCCGGGCGCCCCCCCCGGGCCCATCCGGCTGGGCCCAGCCCGGCAGGGCAGGCCCGGTCGGGCGGCGTCCTCACTCAGTTTTTTTTTTCTTCTATTTTTGTGTTTTAAACTGTTTTTTTTTTTTTTCCTGCTTCATTTTTGTCTTCTCTGTTCCTTTTGTGTGCTTTTTTCCGTTCCTTTGTTGTTGTTTTAGTTACTTCATCATTACGTGACTGTTTCATTCGCTGAAGAGAAAGGTCGATCAACCACAGCAAAGAAATAGCCGATATAGCAACTCCAGTTACTCCACAACATTTGCAAATCCAAACTTCCTGTTCTGTTTCCAAAATTTGCAATACAATTTCTTTGTCTGGTATTGTCTCTTACCTCCCACTTCTCTCCAAACGCTTAGCTGATCTTCTTCACCATGTAAACCCACCCAGCATTATCCAGTTTCCACCTTCTCGAATCTTCTATTGCCTTTCTGTTTTTCATGATGCCCACTACATGCTACATTGTTAATGCTTACACCGTCCTGAAATGAGGACATGATCAGATCATCCTTTCTCCTCTGAATTTCCCGCTGAAGAGAACAGGTAAATATATCGCCTTTTTGCAACTTTGCCTTCCCTGTTCCTACGCTTTGGTGGACGCTCTTCCACAAAATTCCTTAGTCTCTCTCAAACCTTGCATACCCGCAACCGGTAATAACCGATGCTGTAAATATTTCTGATATCATCGTCATCAGTGACATGTGCGAAGTTGCAAACTGTTATCGCGCCTTCCTGAATCCATACATCTCAATATCACCTCCTTCCAAGTTCCTACCCGCTTCCTCCCTCTCTTCCTCCTTTGTTGCGAGCAAGGCCGTGCTGGTCCATCTTGGATTTGTTCAGCAGGTCAGGGTTCAGCTGCGAGAAGCTACTGAGATTGAAACGATCACCTGTTCGCAGTAGCCGATGCAGACCCCAGGGCTCGATCCCTAGTCTTCACCTTACCTGTGTACAGTATCTGTGTCGACCCCAGGAGTTGAACCCACGACCTGTCTTTTCCCACAGTTGGTAGGTTGTCGTAGGTCTGTAGGTGATAGGGGTTCGATCTGAAGACCTATTGGATAGAGGTCTTAGTGAGGCCTAGAGGTCGTAGCTGTAGGTGTCCTGAAAAGTCAAGGTCGTAGCTGCTACAGCCCTGAAAGGTCAAGGTCGTAGCTGCTACAGTGTTCGAAAGGCCAAGTCTCCAGCCTTCCGGAAGGTCCCAGTAGTGGCCTTTCGAACTTGCTCACGTTTAGACAGAGGCAAGTGGGCAAGTGGTGAGCCCAGCTGCGGTACGTCGGCGGTGCGACTGCATCGAGTTGGCAGTGCAAACCCATGCAGTCAGCGGTACCGGTCCTGGTCAGTCACAGTCCAGTCAAGCAAGTACCGTGTGGGACTGTGTGCACCAGGGGCATGGGAAAAGGGGCAGACCAACGAGCTACAGAAGTATAAATCAAGAGGCAGCGCCTCGCCAGTCATTCATTCCTGCGTAAGCCATGCGGAAGCGCTGCCATAGCGACTTGGGCGAGGTGGTCTGCAGTGAGCCCGAAGACGAAGTGGGCGAGAAGGAGAGCTTAGCCATAGCGATAGGGGTGGTAGCGGCCATAGCCGCCATAGCTGATAGAGAAGTGTAGTGTGTGTGTGTGTGTGTGTGTGTGTACAGTGTGACGCGTGTGGGATATCCAGGGTGACTATGTGTGTGAACAGCAGAGTTGGGTGGGCGACAAAAAGAGAGTTGTACAGGCGCGGTTGCGCCATAGCTGTTTGAAGTGAGCTTGTATCTGAACTGCGTTCTTGGTTACCATATCTCTGAGTTTGGGTGGGCGCTTGTCGCCAGTTTGCTGCGCTACTTGTTTGCATGCATGCGAAGTGTGAAAGACGCGAGTCTGATTGCAGAGATAAGTGAAGCTAGGGCGTACTCACACCTAGGACTTCCCGTCAAAGATGATACCTTTTGATAGTTGGGCATTAACAATTGTGATGCTGCTTGCGGCCATCCTTACTGTACGTGCTTGTGCATATTTATGATTTGGATTTTGGGCATTTGAAGACTGTTCCTCTCAAGTGGGGAGCCGATTGTGGCTCATTCTTGTTGGGAATGCACACTGATTGCTTTTGCAGGTTGCTTTCATATTTCTTCGAGCAAAAGAAGAATGTTCCCAATGCAGACGATGTCTGTGCAGCAGTTGCATTAATGTACGGATATGCAGCATGGTATGCGCCTTCATCAGCGATTGAAGCACGGATTGAGACACTTGTGGTAAGACGAGGAGCATCCAGTTGTGTTAATTCTTTGATCTCATTATGTCTTATGTGGCTATCTGTGGTCTGGTCCTTGAATCAATTGTAACCTCTGCTTGTCCCTTTGAGGACAGGAGTGCATCGCCTACCCTCTCCCTTGGTGATGCTCCCTAGCAGATGTGTGCTCCTCAACACAGTCCCAGAGGAGTAGCCCTTTGTAAAAGAGGCTGGTGGATAGTGATTGTGCTGATTCCACCACCACTGAAAAGGCCATATGCTATTTGAGCTAGGCCCGTGAGTGCCTTGCTCAATCTTTCTGCCAATCAGTTGGATCACATGTAGAATGGCATGTAACTCCATTTGGTGGTGTGAGAGCTGGGTGTTTATCTTTTGTCAGAAGGTCAGCTCAACCGTGCATTTAATCTTGTCACTGTTGTCCCAGTATTTTTCATTTTTTTTGTTAGAGCCTTTGTCTCTTTTTGGTTGACTCTGAGTTGTGCTCCTGATGTGATCTTTGATTGCCATCCAAGTCACATCTAACTGTTCCTCCGTCTTTTCGTCCAGTCATCTCATCTAGTGTTTTCCTGAATACCCTTCGGTTGGGCGTAGCATAACAGCCGACCGCCAATGCCGGCAGCCAGCCGTTCCCCAGCCTACCAGTGTGGACGACTGGTCGACAGAGGGCCATTGGCTCATTATTTCAAAACTATAAGGAGGGGGCTGTACTGTGCATGATGGGAACAGCCCAACTCCGCTAAGACGATGGTTTTCAGGTGGGCATAGAGGGGGTGGAGGGGGGTGGGGGTGTAATTAAGGGGCGTAACATTGGACAGGGGATGTCCCTCGTCTATCGGGCTGTGTGAGGTTGTTGGGGATACACAGGTGACCCTATTCACCATTCAGATCTTGATTCTCTAAATAGCTCGTGCGTTGAAAATTAAAAAGTAAAGTTTGTTTGATGTCATGGACAACAGGTCAAAGGCCTCGTGAACATCAACTCAACAATAGTAGCTGAATTGGGCAGGGGAGGGCTCTCTAGAAGCGGAGTTGCAAGGAAGACAAGGTTATTGAAATGGATCTGAGGAAACAATACAGGAACGGTGGGCTGTTCGAGAAAAAGAAGTGAAAAGAAAGAAAATTACGTGTGTTTTGTGGCGACCAACAAGCACAACCCCTCAGCTGCTGTCAGCCAACTGGTTGAACGGTCGGCTGGTTGGCAGCCAACCGGTCAGGGATTGCCGACTGTCGGCCGTGCGAGTCTGCTTCTTTTCAAAAGGATTTCAACGCCCGATTCCAGTTGCAGTTCCAGTCCCAGTCCTGTGTACCAAAATTCTGTGTCCCATGTTCAGTTCCCGTACTGGGTGGCTCTGTAGGCCCATACTAGTTGAATTCCGGTTGTGTCCGCAGGGTCAGTCTGAGTTCGGTAGAATTCTGATCCAGTCCACATGTCAGTCCATAGTCCAGTTAGCAGCCAAGTCCCAAGAAAGTCAGGGATCTTTCCAATACATCAGAGGCCGGTTGTCACTAGCTAGCCAGGGTTTCGTACCCAAAAGTCAAAGCCTGCCTTGGATCACAACTTAGCATCTACTGCTCAGTGAACTCAATAATTGCCTTTCAAGCCTCCCACCATGTTATCGGGGCAGCCACCAAGCCACACAAAGTGAGTGTTTATCATCATCAGCTAGCCGGAGACAAAGAGTGGGACTCAATAACCCCCCTCAGCAATGCCTGGGACTCAGAGGGCTGAGGAAGTAAGTACCGAACAGGTATGAAGATCACAACCTCGCCCAATTCCATAAGGTGAATTATAGTGCCAATTTTTTTATTTTTTTATTTTTTTTTTAAATTTGGACCATTTCTCGATTTATGCATGTCATCCTTGCGCAGGGGCCATGCTAATCTTCTCTGTATCATTCCAATTTTAACGGATGTCCCGAAGGACAATAGTGCCAATTTCTTCTTTCTCTCACACCTTGAAATTGTTTTGATCATCGTGCAAGGTCGTGCAAGGTCGTGCACCCAGGCCTTGGTGGCACCCAGCAGGGGCCACCCGCATCGGATTGACCTGGCCAAAGTGAATGCTGGACGTACATTAATAAAAACGGGCTTTAAGGGAAGGTCCGGGTAATGTAAAAATAACTGCCGGGCATTGAAGTAACGGCCCTGGCACCTGGAAGTTGGCAGAAAATGTCTGGAAGGTCTCAGTCTTCAATGACGCGACCTTGCCCTTCCCCATTTGAGGAAAGGGTTAGAGGCGGCTGCTGAGGGACAAGCCTTCATTAAAGTTCATTTCACAAGTTGCTGGCCAGCAGCGCTAAAAGTGGTGCAGCTCGAAGAGCCACGCAGGGTGTTGACGAAGACGAAGGAGCAAGGCCACCACGATGTAGCAGACCCTGCCAGCGCCAGGCATAGCTGCAGTGGATGGTTTAATAGGACGCGCTTGTGTTTGACAGGATGATGGGAAGAGCACATTTGTGTTCTCATTTGGTGTGATCTCGACTTGTCAACCTGCATTCGACTTCGCTCTCATATCATGAGTCATATGCTTATTCTAGTTCTCGTCTTCGCTGCTGTCGAAAAATTGACTTCTCATCGAGAGGTTCCGTGCAACGTGGATCACAACTTAGCATCAACTGCTCAGCAAACTCAATTATTGCCCTTCAAACGTCCCATCATGTTACTAGGGCTCCCACCGTGCCAGGCGAAGTGAGTGTTTATGATCATCAGGTAGCTGGAGACAAACAGTCGAACTCAAATAACCCTACCTCGGAATGGGGCTCACAGAGGCCAGAAAAAGTAAGTACTGAGCAGGTATGAAAAACACAATCTCGCCCAATTCCATAAGATGAATTATAGTGTCATTCTCTTCTTTCTGTCCTCCCGTTCGTAGGAGCATGTTCAAGTATGGAAAGCATCAGCTGAGCCTTGGCGATTTCGATCATTAGCAGGGGTGGCAGGAAGGCTGCTTTCACTTTTGCACCACCTTTTATCGCCTCTCAGTTTTCTCCATTCCTTGGCTGCTATGCGTGATGGCAGGGCAGCAATATGCTGGCAGGGTTGTTGGGAGTGAAGACAGCAAAGCCTCGACAAGCAGTGATATCTGCCATTGACCTCTTGGGTAAGTGTTCTGTGAAAGTAAATGAACCTGGTTGTCGTGCATTCTTGCTCATGCCCTCTAGGTCCGAAGTTCTCATAATTATGAAGCTCTCTTGTGCACCTAGGTTGGTATGTGTATATGGTTGCTTTGCCAATTAAGGATTTCGTCCAACAGAACATAGCTATCCACATCACAGATAGGTGCTAAGTAGATTGGCACCTGCCAACTCTCCCACCGTCGGGTTATAAGGCAAAGATTCGGACTGTACATCCATATGACAGAGAGGTCGGTGAACAGATTCTGCATTTGAGCAATGTATACTACAAGTTTACAACGGAATACCAAGCACCTTCATCATTCTCCTTCCCTGGGGACTTCMCCCCCCCCCCCCAAAACACCAACAACCCCTGCCTCCCCTTCTCGAAAGCTATGGCCCATTGTGCAGGAGACTCATAGGAGGCTGAGGGCAAGACAGTTGCTTCGTCACCTGAAGGCAACATTACCCTTCACCATCACCATGGCAAGGCAGCATCACCCTTCATGATGAACTTTATGGCTGCGGCTGCAGCAGCAGCAGCAGAAATTTCAGCTCTCAGGTTTGGAGAGCAGAAATAGTAATTTGCTCGCAAAGATCACTTGAAAATTGAAAGATATCAGACATACTTTCAAGTAAAAAAGGAAAAGACCAGTGGACAACGGCGAAAGGTGAATTTTCTGGGACTGGGGATGGCACTCGGCCCACAACATTTCAATAACCAGTGTCGTGGGCCGAGTGCCATCTCCTTTCGGGGACTTGGGATGGCACTCAGCCCACGACAATTCAATAACCTGTGTCCTTTTCAAAACCCTTTCCTTCACTTCCGCCTGGACAAAAGGAGGGCAACACAATGGAAGAGGCACAGCTGTCAGAATTTATGTCCCTCCATCCCATCCCAGGCAGCTATGATTGACCTTAAACTGCCAGTACGCTGCCCCAGCCTTGTAGAAAATTGCGCGTTGCTGACTTGGAATTTTTTGCGGCTCAGTGCCACTGAACCACAATGGCTGGTGATGCCAGCCAAAAAGAAAAAAATGGGCTGCTGGCGGCTCGGCAAAGCTCAGTGCGCAGTGTAGTGCTGCTAGGTCTGAGGGTACTGGTGATTTAATGGAACTGGCTTTGCACCCCCACAGCATTTGCACACTCGTACGCTTGCTCACATAGCATGCCAGTGTCTAGTACTGCCGCACAGAGAGCTCCCTTTTTGGTTTGTCCGGTTAGCCAGTTCCTTCTGTTGCCGACTTCCAACTACCGTCTGGCCAGTCATGATTGATATATCTCGACCGAAAGCTGCCCTGAATGCCATGTGTTCTATTTGGGTGAAGATGGTAGGTCTTGACTGTTCTGTTGGAAGTCCTTGCCCTACTCTGTAGCCTGCACACGCGCTGGTATAGCAGATGGGTATGTGGGCACATCCTGCTCGACCTCACACCTGAAACGAAACCCAAGTAAAAAATACAGTGAACAATTTTGTTGTGGGGATGGCGTCTTGCTCTGTGCTATAGTGTCGCAAAGAGGATGGCCACCATAGCCAAGCTTGGAATTCTCAATTGTGATTGCTGACAGATAAGAACCCGACGACGAGGTGGATGGCTGGCTCGATCTGCTGCCGTGTGTGTGTAAGGTGTAGCATGCATGTTGTATATCTTCGTGCATTTCCCTCTACTTATGTTCTGCCCTGTTCCTCGCAGCTACTTTTCCATTGTTGTTTGAGGGATGCATTCTTGGTTGGCTATCCGCCAACATGCACATGCTCACACAGGGATAGGTACATTGATTTGGGAAGAACAAAAGCGTCCACTGGGAGTATCATGCTTCCAGGACAGGATCGTACAATAAGTTCTTAGGTAGGTAAGATAAAATAAAATGAGATAGGATGGGGGTGGGGTGAGTTGGGGTAAACTGTGATGAAGATGAGATAAGATAGATGTGAAAGGATAGGATAGACGAAATAGGATAGGATGCAGGTTTAGCACACAAGTGGCATTCAGGAGGTTTCCCCACGTCATCCATTCGATTACCCACGGCCCCTGTGGCACGCTTTATCCATTCGATTCCCCACGGCCCCTGTGGCATGCTTTGGGTTCACCAACTGAGATAGTTCACTCGGCCCCCATGGTTGGTCTTGGTAGGGGCTATACGTCCCTTCCATCCCGTGCTAGGGGTTAGGAGCTTAGGTACTATTCCCTGCACAGAGTAGAGTAGATGATGTGGTGTCTATCCCTTCGGAGCATAGATCAAGAGTTCACCTTGTGGCTGACTAGGTAAGCGGGTAGCTGGTGTGAGGTGGGAAAATATTGAGAGAAGAAAATAGTGTGAGCCTGTGAGGTGGGAAAATATCGAGAGAAGAGAATAGCGTAGAGGAGAAGACAGCTTAAAATATATATACTGCTTGTTCATCTGCTGCTAATGCAGTTCCCACTGTTGCGGTTCCCACAGCCGCCACTTCCACCGCTGTGGTCTCCATTGCTGCAGTTTCTACTGCTGCTGTTTCAACTCCGGGTTTCACTCCAGCAGTTTCTGCTATGGAAGTTGCCTCCGCTGCTTGTCCTGTCACTGCTTGTTCATCTGCTGCTAATGCAGTTCCCACTGTTGCGGTTCCCACCGCCGCCGCTTCCACCGCTGTGGTCTCCACTGCTGCAGTTTCTACTGCTGCTG